AGCGAGAATCCTTCCCCTGGACCAACGAGCCACAACTAAAAGCTATTGTCCAATTGTTTACAGCAGCACATCAGGATTATTGTGGGTTGCAATAAGGGAAAGATGTTTACAAGACATTTTGTATTTTTTATAGTGTTTGTATTTCCTCTCCTTATCCAGTCACCATTATATCCGACCGTGTGGTTTTTTTTTTTTTTGTTTATCATTAAATATTGACTATACAATTTAATTAAAAGTGAAAAACAATTAGAGAAGGTGGGGTGGTTTGTCGCTAGCAAAACTCCTATGAGCGACAGACAATGTGGACAAAATAGGCGCTGCTAGATCATCACTCCAGACACCATTGAGGAATGGATTTCGACCAGATTGATGGAGTCACTGTCCGACTGCACTGAATATAAAAATACCACTGGGCTCGTCCGGGATTTGAACCCGGGACCTCTCGCACCCAAAGCGAGAATCATACCCCTAGACCAACGAGCCACTGTAAAAATGATTTTGAATTTTTTTACGGCAGCACATCAAGATTATTGTGGGTTGTGTTAGGGGCAAGATGTTTTCAAGCCATTTTGGAAATTTTCTGTAGTGTATTTATTTCCTCTCCTTATATCCGACCGTGTGGTTTTGTTTGTTTCTCATTAATTATTGATTATACATTTTAATAAAAAATACAGTATATTTGGAGAAGGTGGTTTGTCGCTAGCGCAATTCCTAAGAGCGGCAGACAATGTGGCCATAACGGACTCTGCTGGATCGACAATCCAGACACCATTGAGGAATGGATTTTGACCATATACCACTGGGCTCGTCCGGGAATGAATCCGGGACCTCTTGCACCGGATGCGAGAATCCTTACCTTGGACCAACGAGCCACCACTAAAAACTATTGTCCAATTGTTTACAGCAGCACATCAGGATTATTGTGGGTTGCAATAAGGGAAAGATGTTTACAAGAAATTTTGTATTTTTTATAGTGTTTGTATTTCCTCTCTTTATCCAGTCACCATTATATCCAACCATGTGGTTTTGTTTGTTTCTCATTAAATATTGACTATAAAATTTAATAAAAAGTGAAAAACAATTAGATAAGGTGGGGTGGTTTGTCGCTAGCAAAATTCCTAAGAGCGACAGACATCTCATCTCATCTCATCTTCAACCGCTTATCCGGGGTCGGGTCGCGGGGGTAGCAGCTCTAGCAGGGGACCCCAAACTTCCCTTTCCCGGGCAACATTAGCCAGCTCTGACTGGGGAATCCCGAGGCGTTCCCAGGCCAGTGTGGAGATATAATCTCTCCACCTAGTCCTGGGTCTTCCCGAGGTCTCCTCCCAGCTGGACGTGCCTGGAACACCTCTCTAGGGAGGCGCCCAGGTGGCATTCTTACAAGATGCCCGAACCACCTCAACTGGCTCCTTTCTATGCAAAGGAGCAGCGGCTCTACTCCGAGTTCCTCTCGGATGACTGAGCTTCTCACCCTATCCCTAAGGGAGAGGCCAGCCACCTTTCTGAGAAAACCCATTTCGGCCGCTTGTACCCGCGATCTCGTTCTTTCGGTCATGACCCAGCTTTCATGACCATAGGTGAGGGTAGGAACAAAGATTGACCGGTAGATCGAGAGCTTTGCCTTTCGGCTCAGCTCTCTTTTCGTCACAACGGTGCGGTGAAGCGAATGCCTCCCGGGAATCATCACCTTAACGTGGTGGAGAGGTTTGTGTGCCCCTATGAACCTGAGGGCTGGGTTGTCTGGAGCTTCATGCTCCTGGTAGGGTTTCCCAAGGCAAAGTGGTCTCAGGCGAGGGGCCAGACTAAGAATGGTTCACCAAGACCCCATGAAAAATCGAGGGAAAAGGATCGAGACCCTGCCTGGAGGAAGCCCAGGGCCCCGTCTGGAGCCAGGCCCAGACGGCGGGCTCGAAAGCGAGCGTCTGGTGGCCGGGTTTGCCACGGAGCCCGGCCGGGCACAGCCCGAACGAGATACGTGGCATCTCTCTCCTCTCCATCCTGTGGGCCCACCACTCACAGGAACAACCGCAGGGGTCGGGTGCGCTGTCATATGGGTGACAGTGAAGGTGGGGGTCTCGACGGATCAGACCCGGGCGGCAGAAGCTTGCTTTGGGGACGTGGAACGTCACCTCACTGGGGGAAGGAGCCAGAACTTGTGCGTGAGGTGGAGCGATACCAGTTGGATCTGGTGGGACTTACCTCTACGCACAACCGTGGCTCTGGAACCTTACCCCTGGATAGGGGTTGGACTCTGTTCTTCTCTGGAGTTGCCCAGGGTGAGAGGCGGCGGGCTGGTGTGGGGATACTCACGAGCCCACGTCTGAGCACGGCGGTGTTGGAGTTTACCCCGGTGGATGAGAGGTTTGCCTCCCTACGCCTAAGGGTGGTGGGGGAAAACTCTGACTGTTGTTTGTGCTTATGCACCAAACAGCAGTTCGGAGTATTCAGCCTTCTTGGAGACCCTGAAGGGAGTCCTATATAGGGCTCCAGTAGGGGACTCCATCATTCTGCTGGGAGACTTCAACGCACATGTGGGCAACGATGGAGACACCTGGAGAGGCGTGATTGGGAGGAACGGCCTCCCTGATCTAAACCCGAGCGGTCGTTTGTTATTGGACTTCTGTGCTAGTCATGGATTGTCTATAACAAACACCATGTTCGAACATAAGGAGGCGCATAAGTGTACATGGTACCAGAGCACCCTAGGCCGAAGGTCAATGATCGATTTTGTGATCGTATCGGCTGATCTAAGGCCGCATGTTTTGGACACTCGGGTGAAGAGAGGGGCAGAGCTGTCAACTGATCACCATCTGGTAGTGAGTTGGATCAGAGGGTGGGGAAAGACTTTGGACAGACCAGGTAAGCCCAAACGGGTGGTGCGGGTGAACTGGGAACGTCTGGAGGAGGCCCCTGTCCGAAAGATCTTCAACTCACACCTCCGGCGGAGCTTTTCAAGCATCCCTGTGGAGGTTGGGGGCATTGAACCTGAGTGGGCAATGTTCAAAGCTTCTATTGCTGAAGCTGCGGCGGTGAGCTGTGGTCTCAAGGTCCTAGGTGCCTCAAGGGGTGGTAACCCTAGAACACCGTGGTGGACCACGGTGGTCAGGGAAGCTGTCCGACTGAAGAAGGAGGCCTTCAGGGATATGCTAGCCCTGGGGACTCCGGAGGCAGTTGCAGGGTACCGACAGGCCCGAAGGGCTGCAGCCGCTGCCGTGTCAGAGGCAAAGCAGCGGGTGTGGGAGAAGTTTGGAGAAGCTATGGAGAAGGACTTTCGGTCGGCACCAAAATGCTTCTGGAAAACCGTTCGGCACCTCAGAAGGGGAAAACGGGAACCATCCAAGCTGTGTACAGTAAGGATGGGACACTGTTGACCTCAACTGATGATGTGATCGGGCGCTGGAAAGAGCATTTTGAGGAGCTCCTGAATCCGACCTACACGCCCTCTAGTACAGAGGCAGAGCTGGAGGCTGATGGAGGGTCATCGTCAGTTTCCCTGGGGAAGTCGCTGAGGTAGTCAAACAACTCCACAGTGGCAAAGCCCCAGGGACTGATGAGATTCGTCCAGAAATGCTAAAAGCTTTGGGTGGGGAAGGGCTGTCTTGGTTGACACGCCTCTTCAACATTGCATGGAAGTCTGGGACAGTGCCAGAGGAGTGGCAGACCGGGGTGGTGGTTCCCCTCTTTAAAAAGGGGGACCAGAGAGTGTGTGCCAATTACAGAGGTATCACACTCCTCAGCCTCCCTGGTAAAGTGTACTCCAAAGTGCTGGAAAGGAGGGTTCGGCCAATAGTCGAACCTCAGATTGAAGAGGAACAATGCGGTTTTCGTCCTGGCCGGGAACCACGGACCAGCTCTTTACTCTCGCAAGGATCCTGGAGGGGGCCTGGGAGTATGCCCATCCAGTCTACATGTGTTTTGTGGATCTGGAGAAGGCGTATGACCGGGTACCCCGGGATCTTTTGTGGGAGGTGCTGCGGGAGTATGGGGTGAGGGGGTCTCTTCTCAGCAGACAATGTGGACAAAATAGGCGCTGCTAGATCATCACTCCAGACACCATTGAGGAATGGATTTCGACCAGATTGATTTAGTCACTGTCCGACTGCACTGAATATAAATATAACACTGGGCTCGTCCGGGATTTGAACCCGGGACCTCTCGCACCCAAAGCGAGAATCATACCCCTAGACCAAGCCACTGTAAAAAATTTTTGAAATTTTTTACGGCAGCACATCAAGATTATTGTGGGTTGTGTTAGGGGCAAGATGTTTTCAAGCCATTTTGTAAATTTTCTGTAGTGTATTTATTTCCTTATCCAGTCACCTTATATCCGACCGTGTGGTTTTGTTTGTTTCTCATTAAATATTGATTATACATTTTAATAAAAAATAAAGTATATTTGGAGAAGGTGGTTTGTCGCTAGCGAAATTCCTAAGAGCGGCAGACAATGTGGCCATAACGGACTCTGCTGGATCGACAATCCAGACACCATTGAGGAATGGATTTTGACCATATACCACTGGGCTCGTCCGGGAATGAATCCGGGACCTCTCGCACCAAAGCGAGAATCATACCCCTAGACCAACTAAAAAGCCACTGTAAAAAAATTTTGAATTTTTTACGGCAGCACATCAAGATTATTGTGGGTTGTGTTAGGGCAAGATGTTTTCAAGCCATTTTGTAAATTTTCTGTAGTGTATTTATTTCCTCTCCTTATCCAGTCACCACTATATCCGACCGTGTGGTTTTGTTTGTTTCTCATTAAATATTGATTATACATTTTAATAAAAAATAAAGTATATTTGGAGAAGGTGGTTTGTCGCTAGCGAAATTCCTAAGAGCGGCAGACAATGTGGCCATAACGGACTCTGCTGGATCGACAATCCAGACACCATTGAGGAATGGATTTTGACCATATACCACTGGGCTCGTCCGGGAATGAATCCGGGACCTCTCGCACCCAAAGCGAGAATCATATTTCCCCCTAGACCAACAAGCCACTGTAAAAGAAATTTAGAATTTTTTACGGCAGCACATCAAGATTATTGTGGGTTGTGTTAGGGGCAAGATGTTTTCAAGCCATTTTGTAAATTTTCTGTAGTGTATTTATTTCCTCTCCTTATCCAGTCACCATTATATCCGACCGTGTGGTTTTGTTTGTTTCTCATTAAATATTGATTATACATTTTAATAAAAAAAAAAAAAAAGTATATTTGGAGAAGGTGGTTTGTCGCTAGCAAAATTCCTAAGAGCGGCAGACAATGTGGCCAAAACGGACTCTGCTGGATCGACAATCCAGACACCATTGAGGAATGGATTTTGACCATATACCACTGGGCACTGAATATAAATATAACACTGGGAATGAATCCGGGACCTCTCGCACCCAAAGCGAGAATCATACCCCTAGACCAACAAGCCACTGTAAAAGAAATTTAGAATTTTTTACGGCAGCACATCAAGAGTTATATTGTGGGTTGTGTTAGGGGCAAGATGTTTTCAAGCCATTTTGTAAATTTTCTGTAGTGTATTTATTTCCTCTCCTTATCCAGTCACCACTATATTCGACCGTGTGGTTTTGTTTGTTTCTCATTAAATATTGATTATACATTTTAATAAAAAATAAAGTATATTTGGAGAAGGTGGTTTGTCGCTAGCGAAATTCCTAAGAGCGGCAGACAATGTGGCCATAACGGACTCTGCTGGATCGACAATCCAGACACCATTGAGAAATGGATTTTGACCATATACCACTGGGCTCGTCCGGGAATGAATACGGGACCTCTCGCACCGGAAGCGAGAATCCTCCCCTGGACCAACGAGCCACAACTAAAAGCTATTGTCCAATTGTTTACAGCAGCACATCAGGATTATTGTGGGTTGCAATAAGGAAAAATGTTTTCAAGACATTTTGTATTTTTTATAGTGTTTGTATTTCCTCTCCTTATCCAGTCACCATTATATCCGACCGTGTGGGTTTTTTTTTGTTTATCATTAAATATTGACTATACAATTTAATAAAAAGTGAAAAACAATTAGAGAAGGTGGGGTGGTTTGTCGCTAGCAAAACTCCTAAGAGCGACAGACAATGTGGACAAAATAGGCGCTGCTAGATCATCACTCCAGACACCATTGAGGAATGGATTTCGACCAGATTGATGGAGTCACTGTCCGACTGCACTGAATATAAAAATAACACTGGGCTCGTCCGGGATTTGAACCCGGGACCTCTCGCACCCAAAGCGAGAATCATACCCCTAGACCAACGAGCCACTGTAAAAATGATTTTGAATTTTTTTACGGCAGCACATCAAGATTATTGTGGGTTGTGTTAGGGGCAAGATGTTTTCAAGCCATTTTGGAAATTTTCTGTAGTGTATTTATTTCCTCTCCTTATATCCGACCGTGTGGTTTTGTTTGTTTCTCATTAATTATTGATTATACATTTTAATAAAAAATAAAGTATATTTGGAGAAGGTGGTTTGTCGCTAGCGAAATTCCTAAGAGCGGCAGACAATGTGGCCATAACGGACTCTGCTGGATCGACAATCCAGACACCATTGAGGAATGGATTTTGACCATATACCACTGGGCTCGTCCGGGAATGAATCCGGGACCTCTTGCACCGGATGCGAGAATCCTTACCTTGGACCAACGAGCCACCACTAAAAACTATTGTCCAATTGTTTACAGCAGCACATCAGGATTATTGTGGGTTGCAATAAGGGAAAGATGTTTACAAGAAATTTTGTATTTTTTATAGTGTTTGTATTTCCTCTCTTTATCCAGTCACCATTATATCCAACCATGTGGTTTTGTTTGTTTCTCATTAAATATTGACTATAAAATTTAATAAAAAGTGAAAAACAATTAGATAAGGTGGGGTGGTTTGTCGCTAGCAAAATTCCTAAGAGCGACAGACAATGTGGACAAAATAGGCGCTGCTAGATCATCACTCCAGACACCATTGAGGAATGGGATTTTCAGACCAGATTGATTTAGTCACTGTCCGACTGCACTGAATATAAATATAACACTGGGCTCGTCCGGGATTTGAACCCGGGACCTCTCGCACCCAAAGCGAGAATCATACCCCTAGACCAACGAGCCACTGTAAAAATGATTTTGATTTTTTTTACGGCAGCACATCAAGATTATTGTGGGTTGTGTTAGGGGCAAGATGTTTTCAAGCCATTTTGTAAATTTTCTGTAGTGTATTTATTTCCTCTCCTTATATCCGACCGTGTGGTTTTGTTTGTTTCTCATTAAATATTGATTATACATTTTAATAAAAAATAAAGTATATTTGGAGAAGGTGGTTTGTCGCTAGCGAAATTCCTAAGAGCGGCAGACAATGTGGCCATAACGGACTCTGCTGGATCGACAATCCAGACACCATTGAGGAATGGATTTTGACCATATACCACTGGGCTCGTCCGGGAATGAATCCGGGACCTCTCGCACCCAAAGCGAGAATCCTTCCCCTAGACCAACAAGCCACTGTAAAAAAATTTATTGTCCAATTTTTTACAGCAGCACATCAAGATTATTGTGGGTTGTGTTAGGGGAAAGATGTTTTCAAGCCATTTTGTAAATTTTTTATAGTGTTTTATTTCCTCTCCTTATCCAGTCACCATTATATCCGACCGTGTGGTTTTGTTTGTTTCTCATTAAATATTGATTATACATTTTAATAAAAAAAAAAAAGTATATTTGGAGAAGGTGGTTTGTCGCTAGCAAAATTCCTAAGAGCGGCAGACAATGTGGACAAAATAAGGACTCTGCTGGATCGATCAATCCAGACACCATTGAGGAATGGATTTTGACCAGATTGATAGTCACTGTCCGACTGCACTGAATAAAAATAACACTGGGAATTTGAATCCGGGACCTCTCGCACCCAAAGCGAGAATCATACCCCTAGACCAACAAGCCACTGTAAAAGAAATTTAGAATTTTTTACGGCAGCACATCAAGATTATTGTGGGTTGTGTTAGGGGCAAGATGTTTTCAAGCCATTTTGTAAATTTTCTGTAGTGTATTTATTTCCTCTCCTTATCCAGTCACCACTATATCCGACCGTGTGGTTTTGTTTGTTTCTCATTAAATATTGATTATACATTTTAATAAAAAATAAAGTATATTTGGAGAAGGTGGTTTGTCGCTAGCGAAATTCCTAAGAGCGGCAGACAATGTGGCCATAACGGACTCTGCTGGATCGACAATCCAGACACCATTGAGGAATGGATTTTGACCATATACCACTGGGCTCGTCCGGGAATGAATCCGGGACCTCTCGCACCCAAAGCGAGAATCATACCCCTAGACCAACAAGCCACTGTAAAAGAAATTTAGAATTTTTTTACGGCAGCACATCAAGATTATTGTGGGTTGTGTTAGGGGCAAGATGTTTTCAAGCCATTTTGTAAATTTTCTGTAGTGTATTTATTTCCTCTCCTTATCCAGTCACCACTATATTCGACCGTGTGGTTTTGTTTGTTTCTCATTAAATATTGATTATACATTTTAATAAAAAATAAAGTACATTTGGAGAAGGGTGGTTTGTCGCTAAAAGCAAAATTCCTAAGAGCGGACAGACAATGTGGCCTATACAAAAATGAAAAACGGACTCTGCTGGATCTAGATCAATCCAGACACCATTGAGGAATGGATTTTGACCAGATGATAGTCACTGGACTGCACTGAATATAAATATAACACTGGGTCCGGGATTTGAACCGGGACCTCTCGCACCCAAAGCGAGAATCATACCCCTAGACCAACGAGCCACTGTAAAAGAAAATTAATAATTTTTTTACGGCAGCACATCAAGATTATTGTGGGTTGTGTTAGGGGCAAGATGTTTTCAAGCCATTTTGTAAATTTTCTGTAGTGTATTTATTTCCTCTCCTTATCCAGTCACCACTATATCCGACCGTGTGGTTTTGTTTGTTTCTCATTAAATATTGATTATACATTTTAATAAAAAATAAAGTATATTTGGAGAAGGTGGTTTGTCGCTAGCGAAATTCCTAAGAGCGGCAGACAATGTGGCCATAACGGACTCTGCTGGATCGACAATCCAGACACCATTGAGGAATGGATTTTGACCATATACCACTGGGCTCGTCCGGGAATGAATCCGGGACCTCTTGCACCGGAAGCGAGAATCCTTCCCTTGGACCAACGAGCCACATCTAAAAACTATTGTCCAATTGTTTACAGCAGCACATCAGGATTATTGTGGGTTGCAATAAGGGAAAGATGTCTTCAAGACATTTTTTTTTTTTTATAGTGTTTGTATTTCCTCTCCTTATCCAGTCACCATTATATCCGACCGTGTGGTTTTGTTTGTTTCTCATTAAATATTGACTATACAATTTAATAAAAAGTGAAAAACAATTAGAGAAGGTGGGGTGGTTTGTCGCTAGCAAAATTCCTAAGAGCGACAGACAATGTGGACAAAATAGGCGCTGCTAGATCATCACTCCAGACACCATTGAGGAAATGGATTTCGACCAGATTGATTTAGTCACTGTCCGACTGCACTGAATATAAATATAACACTGGGCTCGTCCGGGATTTGAACCCGGGACCTCTCGCACCCAAAGCGAGAATCATACCCCTAGACCAACGAGCCACTGTAAAAATGATTTTGAATTTTTTACGGCAGCACATCAAGATTATTGTGGGTTGTGTTAGGGGCAAGATGTTTTCAAGCCATTTTGTAAATTTTCTGTAGTGTATTTATTTATTTCCAGTCTCCTTATATCCGACCGTGTGGTTTTGTTTGTTTCTCATTAAATATTGATTATACATTTTAATAAAAAATAAAGTATATTTGGAGAAGGTGGTTTGTCGCTAGCGAAATTCCTAAGAGCGGCAGACAATGTGGCCATAACGGACTCTGCTGGATCGACAATCCAGACACCATTGAGGAATGGATTTTGACCATATACCACTGGGCTCGTCCGGGAATGAATCCGGGACCTCTTGCAC